TGCTTATAAAAATATGGCTTTAAGTGTCCTCTATACGATGGTGAAAACCGCAGGCCGCTAAGACCTTTCGTTAAAAAGTTATTTGAAAAACGGCAACCGGCACGACCTTTCCGTTTCGATAGTAGTTTCAGATACAGCAGAGAAAACTGGTTGCGTCTGACATAAAAGCTTGATAGAGTCTGGGGTTTTTGAGCAATGAAAACGTGCGATCTTTGATGCAAGGTCTCAAAGCTTGTAACATCCATACTTACACGATCTCTTTTGTGAAATGCTGATTGAATAGTCCGCCGCAAGTAAGTTATTGAATAAAGACAGTTTGAATCAATTGTAGAGGAAATATCATTGTCTTATATTTTTTTTTTATTTCTTCTTGAAAGAAACAGATAGCAAGATTAAGCACCAAACGAGTTGGTTTTTTACAGTTGAATATTAATTTCGAAAAAATGTTGTATGTAACCATAGAGTTTAATAGTGTATTGTGTGAATCTTGAGGCAAACACAAATGTCATACATTTGTGGTTCAGACGATTTAAAGTCAAGAGTTCGAATTCGATTTGTTCTTTCAACCAAACAGATCGGCCATTTCTTCCTGTGGAATATTATGTGTTGGAGTATCATATTCTAGTAGTTTGCTGGCACCTGGTTCCATCAGATGTGGATGAAGCTCATGAATATATCTGATTATGGTTTCATCTAAACCGCAATCACAATATAATGTTTTTAAATTATGGCAATGTTCAGCTAAATACAATATTGCTCGGTTAACCGGTTCTGAACGAGCGATCACCCATTGTCCGGTTGTTCGAATAAAAACATTTTCTAATGTTTCATGGTAGCTTTGTGCTGCAAGGATGAGTTCGTTGAATACACGAATAGGCGTATTCAATATTAATGTTTGCACCTATAAGCAAAAGTTCAATTCATACAAAATAGTGCAGTGCATGAACAATGACGTACCGGTAGTCGTGTTTCTGGCTTCAGGTACTCTGCAATTCTGTGCAACGGTGTTGTTAAACCAAAATCCAATGTCATTCGTAAATTGGGATATCTTTCTCTAAGTTGTCGCCACAATTGAGGATTTGTATCATCCGAATATTTTTCTTCTCGCCTTATCCTAATTCCAAGATGCTTCAGTTCATCTCGATCAGTTTGTAATAACAGTTGTAAAGCTTCATCTGTCACCGAGACCCTGTCGACCCATAACTCGGTCAAGTGTTTGAGACTATCGATTGTTTGCATTAGAGCATAGGGTGTAATGCAGCATACCAACGATTGATCTTGCAAATTAAGCGATCGAAGATGAGGATTGTACTTTGCAAGAATAGTACACGTATCATCGTCAAGTGAAAACATGACACCACTCAAATCGCAAACGATTATACTTTGACTGTGATGATGGAAAAATGATCGGAGACTATCAATGATGTCAATACATTTCATCATTAATGGATTTTTACCGATAAAATGTAAAGTAAACGTTTGAATTTGACGGTTTTCATGGTTGAATAATGTCAATAGTCTACATAAAACATATTGACATGTTTTATCTTGTTGTTCAATGGAGATATGTAAATGTCTTACGTCATATTCAAATCGTTTTACGTAATTGTAAATGAATGCATAGTATATCAGATTGGCATCAGTCGATGGAACTACTGCTACTGTTGACGATGTATTAACTAATCGTCGTTGAGCTGCGATTAAGGCTTGTGGAATTACTCTTCCCACTCGACGTTTGTTCACTTGATCATCTGATGCCGATGGTAGATGAGAAAATAATCGAATTGTACATGAGTAAGCGAGTCGAGGAGATTCTTGAATAATCTGATACCATAGCTTACAAACTTCTATGAGTACGGCACGTTCGTCAATACTCAAAAAGGAAAAAATATGAACAAGAACAATTTCCGGTAGAGTATTAATAATATCTTCACCATCAACTGTTGCTGCTGCCATTTTTGACAAAAACAATATACACAAAGATAGAAATAATGTGCAGATTTATATATATATATATATATATGTATGTATTTATACGTATAGAGGAAATCTCATACGGAAAATACTCGTTTCTCTTAGAAGTAGAAGAAAATAATGTGTATGGTAACAAAAAAATTTTTTTTGTTCTTCATATATATACTTCCACACATTTTTCTTTCTCTGTTTTTTTTCTTGTGTGTTCGTATCCTAATAAGGTAACGCTTACGTCATTGACAAGGTGAATTCGATGAATCACCCCATCTATAAATGGTAGATTAGACTAACCGACGTACTCGTTGAAAATAGAGAATTTTCTGTTCTACAACACTCCATAACTCTGATACTTGGTCAGCATGTCATTATTTAAACTATTTCTAAAATATGAGGACAAGTTAAAAATAAAAAACTGCAGTTCGAGGAATTGACTGTTATTTTATTTTGCTTTTTTCTTCTCACACTCACTAGTTTAACAGAATTTCGTTTTTCTCTCAAATGAAGCTACATATAGCAAGTGTTTCGTCTTGAATCCATTTTTCAATATTGAATAGTAAATTTTTCAGAAGGAAAAACTTTAGCTTTACAACAGAGATCTGCACTGGCAAGATTTTTTGGCCTATGCCCGTGTAGAATAAAACGTTTTTTCTCTCTGCTGTGCCACAGATATTTCCTTTTGTTTCTTATCTCTGACTTTTTACTAATTGTAACTTGGTTATTTTGTAAGAAATAAGAAACGTGGTTCTTCCAATTTATTACTTAATCAAAGCAAAACCTTCTATTGCTTTTGTCGCTAAAAAGGTTTTGTGTAGTTTAATGAAATTCAGTTTAATATTCATCTTCTTTGCCTTTTTCATTTTCACTAAAATTTCAGAAACGATATAAATACGCACACTGTTGATTTAAGACAATGTTTTTCAAAAAGAATTATTTGTTAAGAATATATCACGCGTATAGAACGAAAAGGACACTTTTTGCAGCAATTGAATGCATATAGTACACTGACCCACTTTCTTATTGTATTTCTTGCAAGATTCCTGTTTCTTGTTATTTCAGCAAATATTATAAACTTACGTGTATTTTTATCTCATTCTTGGCTGAAATTTTTGTCTTGTGATTAGAACCAAGAGTCATGAGACTAATCCTTGGATAAAGTCACAAGACAGAAATTCCAGTCAAGAATCTTGTCATAAATTTTGCATCAAACTTCTTTTCATATATATGGGAGCAAGCCGCTCTGACACCAATACAGGCACAAATACAGATTCGATTGTCTCTCGACAAGAATCTTGTGATATTTAAAAGAATTTTTACAAACATCTAGGCATACACCGGTCAAGAAGCTTCTCCTTCCACAGACAAGAATCTTGCATCTTGCTTGTACAGATAAGCATCTTGTTTCATGTTTTCTTAGAAAAAAGTGATAGAGCTTGGTCGTACATTTTCTTTACAGTTGCGTAGCATCAACATAGCAAGGGAAAATGATCGTTTTAGACCTTGCCAAAGAATTGTCTGGTCATTTTCGACTAATCTAACATGCAATTTAATAGAATTCTCAAAATTTGTATTAAAAGTTTAAAACTGCTCATAACTCACGAGGGAACCGTCCGAGGTGATACACTCCGTTTCTAATGAGTTATACCTCAATCGATAGAGTATATCGAGCTAATATAAAGCCTAAAAGGATTCGGCCCCATTACTCTTGAAGACCCGGTTTTCTGGAAAACCAGTTTTTCAGAAACTCTAAAAAATAATTAAAATCTTTTCTTAGTAAGAGATGATTGTAGCCTGCACATTTCTGATTAAAATGAGACATCTTCCAGCTCTATGCGACCTTTCTTTGCAAAGTTATAGAATTTACAAGAAAAGCCCTAAATTAATCTCTTTTTATTTCTGTAGCTTTGAGCTGACAATGAACATTTAGGGCTTTTCTTGTAAATTCTATAACTTTGCAAAG